GGGGGAGGGGGCGCAGGGCTGCGGCGGCAGGGTCGGGAGAGATGGGGAGGGCGGGTGGTGAAGCTGAAGGAACGGACCCTCACGTGGGCTGCAGCCGTCGGCCCGAGGCGACCCGCAGAAGTGAAGTCTGCTGTGATGCAACTGTATTCTGGCTTTATGGTTTTAGTGGCAAGTCTGTAGTGTGAAACTTTTTTCATTTTTATTTATTTTATTTTGATCTTTTTTTTTATGTTCTTCTCTCACCGCGCTGGACCTGGATTCCTCTGGGGACAAATCAAGGCGGTCACGAGAGAGACGAGTAGTGAATTTGTGCTTTGGTGGATTGTTCGAAACAAAACTATCTCCTGCTTTAGTCTCACACTGAAGAGAAGAATGTTCTGGGGAAGGCGCTCGCTGACTCTCTCTTTAACTCTGTCGACTTGAATCTCCTTAGAACAGAAGCACTGTCATTTTATAAAGTGCCTTTTGTGCTGTGTTTTTGTATCAGACTCCTGCTATCTCAGGATCGGTTGCCATTTGTGCAGTACTACGGAGGCTTGTTGTGCCCCCACCCCACCTCCTCAGACCAGCCCTGCCTGTCACTCTCTCCTCTCCTCTCCTCCTGACAGCGGTTGCACAGGAACGACCCCAGCAGCTAATCCCAGGAGGGAAGGACATAATCCGGGGGAGGCTATCGGACATCATAACTCATTCGATTAGGGCCTGAAAAAAGCCAATAAGAGTCTGTGTGGGGAAAACAACCCGCCGCTCAAAGAACCTGCTCAGTTCACACACAAATTACTAAATAAATAAAAATAAAAAATCACCTGTCAACACTGCTACATTTTTCTACATGTCGGGGTTTTATAGTTTATTGGAGAATGCTTGCCTTTTTTTTTTTCTTTGGTGAACTCACGAGTTTCGGAGCCTTTGTGTTGAGACGCTTGCCTGCTCTATTTGGTTTCATGTTGCAAAAACTCCATGGTGTAAAGCTGACGTAGGCATGACTCGATTAGTCCGACAGCATTAGGGGACTGGAACCTAATGGATCAAAGGCACCTGAGAGAAATTCTTCTGTCGCCTTGAACATTCCTGTTTTTTATAGGCCAACGAAACTTATTAAAGAGGTGCATGATCTTTTTTTTTCTTTTTTTTCCCTCCAAATGTTTTACTCAAAGCACTTGTTACTCTGTGGTGAGAATGTGAAAATAGTCAGCTGAAACTATATGAATATACTCTGTATAAAGGCACTGAGAAAATAAAAAAAATACTGTAAGATACATATTTTTGAAGTATTGATGACATAAAAGTTGCTGCTCTCCCTCTGGAGCTCTTCTTTGGGCCGTTCATTTGTAAATTGTGGATTTTTTTTTTTTAAAGGGATATTTCAGATCTTTAGAAGCAAGGTGTTTCATATAGTGTAACGGTACGTGTATTTGCACCAAATCTTCACAGCACAAACATTCAGCATTACTACACTGAAGTACAAAACAAATATGCTAGTCAAATGATCCCCACTCCTATGTTTCCTATTTAACTGTTTCTTAACAGCCACAACAGAAAAGAAGAAGAGAAAAATACAATTTAAAGCACTCTGCTCCTGTTTGTTTAAAATCACCCAGTAGAAAACCATCCCAATAAGTAACAGCAGCAGAGGAAGACAAGACATGCATGTATGGGGAGTAGTTATATCTAATATGGCAGGCATTTTGGTATTTTTTATATGCATAATATTAAATATTTTCCTTCATTACCTCTTGTTTATAAGTTAGTGTGAGGTATTAGGCTACCATTTTTTTGTTTGTTTTTTACTCAAGAGGTGTTTTCCAGTGATTTTGATGCCTTTTTTTATTTTCGCATTAAGTACAGTAGTAACAGACACTTGTTGGGTTTTTTTCTCTTCTTTTATTTGAGGGACAACTTTCTGTGGTTTATTAAACTTTCACACATGGCCTGTAGGATGCTGTTTACCATTCAAATTGGATGGAAAAAACAATATATATATATNATTTTAGACTCATCCCCACAAGGAAAGGTGGTTTGCTTGTCTGTCTGCTTCTGAAAAGAGATTTTATTGGTTAAATACCAAGTATTAGGCTTTTTGTCTGTTGCACCAAATTGCGACCTTCATACGCAGGTAAATACGCAATCATGACTCAGTCGGGCAGTTATGTCTCTAGTGAAAAGGCTATGAACATTTACTTGTTGTTCATAGCTTTTTGAACAATCTCTGTATTTAATTTTGACCAAATTGATGAGCAATAATTTGAACACAGCCAACATCAAAATGGATTATTGTTAAAATGACTCCATTTGAAGATTTCAGAGGTTCATGCAAACTGTATTTTAAACATGTTTACTTTGTCAACAGTTTCACCTTACGTTCTTGTTTTTGAAAATGTAATTTTTTTATTTGCTTATTATTTGTTATTTTATTATTAGAAGTGCACGGAGGAGTTCTGGAACAAATATATTATTCTGCTGGAATAATTTCAAACTGACAGTAAAACACACTCATAAAATTATAGAGACTTTTGGAGGAGTTGTGAGATCAGTTCATTTTGGCCTTTTTCAGACTAGCTGTTAGCTTGTCAATCTAATCAGAATTTGTTGCTATTGCTCTAAACTGAGGCCCCCGTCCTCACAGGAACCTTTTAGCATTCCTACAACATTGTGTTTTGAAAACTAGGTTCCAGAGTGAAAAATATATCATATTTCTACCCTTCCATGTTTGTGTATTCAACCAAAATACGGCCTTTTAAAAACAATGATGTCATCACTTGTGACCCCAGGCACCTCAGACATAACAAAAAAATGACACATTACATGCAAGCGTTTGTGTTGCTGTTGTCAGGTGCTGAATTACAACCGAACTTTTGTGAATGCATGACTTCAATGAACGAACTCGACTGATGGACAATAACAAAGCCCCCAAAAAGATTATTTCTTTATTAAACATTTTCTATCAAAAATACTAAAGCAGATCTATAGTATAAAGCAAGTAGAGATTTGAACAATGGGGAAAATGGGAGTAGTTTTAAAAGAATCACACTTGAAGAATTTTATTAATGTAGAATTTAGCTGTCAGGTGCTAAGCCTGAAAAACCTCCATCACGTGGGCGCATTTGAACTGCTGTCCTGTGCTTCTGTGGTCTTGTAGCTTTAGGTGAAACAAAAATTAAATTCCTCTTCATCCAAACTCTTATTTTCCATCCTCATCTTGTGTTCACATTTTGTACCCAGCGTGTAAGATTTAGTGTTGCATGCATCGCACCTTGTTTCTTGTTTCTGGTGTGTTTTTATAGCTGTGTTACAGCACCACCTAGAGGCCTGGCATGGTTACAACAATGTTTTAGGACCTTTTTTTTTTAATTTTTCATATTCGAGTAGATGAAAGGTCCACTAGAAACAGTGCCGTGCTTTTGAGGATTTTTTTTAAAGACCACTAAAACAATTTTTGGAAAAACAGCCTTTCCTTTCAGACAATGCCTGAGGTCATTTATGCAACAGACAAGATTAGAACCCCACTTCAAAAGATCTGATCTATCACCTTTAACTTCAGATAAAACTAGTTTTATTTTTAAATGCCTGCTTTAACATTTTGTTTTTTATTTATATTTTTTTCTTTTGCTCCAGTTGTTTTTATTTACCTTGCATTAGCCCGTTTTACTCTGAAAGCTCCTGGTCTGTCTGACTCGTCGCTGACAGACGTGGCCCCTCAGTCGCCCTCTTGCCTTGGGACATTTGGAGGCTCATTAGCCATGCCTGCTGATATTATACTATTCAAGGTACTGCAACTCTTTTATTTATTCATCTAGATACTGGATGTGTGCTTTAGGAAATAAACAACACATGTTTTGAAAGTGTGCCATCTTTTTTTTTTTTTTTGAATATTCCCTCTACGTACACACACCTGCGGGAGTGTGCTGAATTATGTATAATGGTCTTGTTTGTTTCGCATTGGTCTTTGTTTTTATGTATTTCTGCTCAAAGCTTTAAATTTTAATGGGCCTCTGTGAACTTGTTTTTAAAAGTCATTACTGACACAGCTTTACTTCTCCTCTTACGACAGTGTTTCCTCTCACTCTGTGACAGATGTTAATGGAGCTCAGCCTTCATCTGGATTGTGTGGGGTTTTTTTAGTTGTTACAAATGCTACAATCAGTATTTTCCCACCTTGATGTGTTCATAAAAATAATTAGTTTGCATTTAAACACCAAATAGTTAAACTCATTTTATTTTTTTACTACAGAATAATGGATTTTGTCACAAGAACTGCGAAGCCGAATAGACTTGTCTGTCTATTAATAGGCAGTTAATCTTTGACTTCTTTGTTGGGTTTAGCTTCAGTTCATAATAACCCTCCCTTTTATTGGTCATTTCATTGCACCACAAAGAAAGGATTGGTGGAGCGCTGCACTTGTGTGGGTCAGGAAGCGTATTTGTGTCCATTCCTGCGATTTCAATTAGTCAGCTGAAACGCCCCCTCCAAAAGAAAAAAAAAAAGCCCCCACTGGAGACTTAAAGGGATTTAATCCTCTCCGGCTGTGTGTCTATCAATTAGCCACACCATTAATCCCCACGGCGTAATCTTATTAGATAGAGCGCCTTTAATGAGACACCCAGAGAGAGGCAGGCGGCAAGACGGAGGGAGAAAAATGAGGTTGTGGCAGGATGCAGGTAGGCCGTGTGGAGAGGTGATTAGTGGGATGGGGGAGAGGGTCAGCGGAGGAGGTGAGATTCAAGCACAGCGGGAGCAGAGCATAACATTTAGAGAGCGGTTTGGCGAGGGGGGGAACTGAGGGGAACAACAGACTGACAGTTCTTTGTCCTCTGCAGTCAGATGAGAGGGTAGAGGGGAAGTAATGGGAAGGGATTTCACTAAGTGATCAACTTAAACTAACCTTTACAGTAGTAAAATAATGAACTACCAGGATTGTGAAGATGTATTATTAAGTGATGATAAAATCCAAGGCTCTGAAATTAAAATCAAGTT